GCAATGGTTAATGATGAAGGCACTGCATTGTTACTGTTATTTGTGTTTGGGTGCCACTGTAGCGAGATGTTAACTACCTCGCCTGGTGTGCAGGAGGTCGTGGATTCGATGCCGCACCTGACGCCTGCTGAATATTTGGAGTTTGCGGTGTCTTTCTCCCCGTGGTCGCGTGGATTTTTATCCGGTTTCTCCGGGGGTTCCCTTCACATTTATAAACATCACGCGCTTAGAGTATTTGTCTGCTCAGAATTCCCACGCGATAAGCCACTTCGTTGAACTATCATTTGTGGCCAGGTCGCTTCTGAAAAATAGCTCCGTCCAGAGTGGGCCCTACCCGGTAACGTAAAAGTAAAGTTTAGTTTGTTCATCTCTGCTCACACAGTTCCGTGAGTTTTATGGAGATATACCCAAGTTTGATAACTGTAGATTTTCCACACTGCTGTTCATTGTTATGCCCATTCGGGGAAGGCTGAGTGGGGTTAGCGCGCTGCGCTATGAGGCACGGGAGGCGGGAGAGAGACCCTCACAAAGCCCGTGCCAGCATCAACCACATGCCTCGTCTGCCTGATCACTATTGGCTTTCACGTGCGTATATTGACGACGATACCAATGCGGTAGAGCGAACGATCGCTGCTGATTGTTACGCTCAACGGGTAACGTCAGCGGCGATTGATATCCGAGTCGATCCCAGGCTCGTCTGTTCTGCCTCGTCTCTCCGCTCAATCCGTCTTCGTTAGCGGAGTTTCATTGTGTACGTACGGTGCGTTGAACTTATTTCGCACCGCACGCAGTCCACCGCGCAAATCGGAGCTCCTGAAGGCCGAGCCGCTTCTGCTCGAGTTCGGCGAGCCTGGAAATATTGCCGCACCACGGCACACCACATACAGCGATACCTCTCGCCATGGGGCTTGTGGGCGACTGAGAGCCGCGTGCCACCTACTCCCGTCTACCAGTCTACCCGCAAATGATTTCGACGACGAATGGAGCCCCGTCCTAAACGAGATGAAGACGCAGAGAGAGAGGTCGCCTCCTCGTGCCCACCACACCCGTGCCTCCGCACAACAACATTTTGTACGCATCCCGTCAGCCACGTTGGCTCCTCCGAGAGTGCAGAGAGAGAGAGTTCCACACGAGCACAACTCTGGGCCGGTTTCGACCATTCAGTGTCTCGTCAGCAGAGCCAGGCTTGCTTGCACCAATGCTGGCGAACTGTCAGAATATTGACGTGGGGTCTTAAGTTCAACGCGAAACTAAAAACTACGTCAGGCGCGTCGTTCATTCATCGCGTACGTCGACAACACGTTCAGGAGCTAGATACCAACATCGATGTCTGCTGGCCAAGACGAGAGGACTGCAGTAAAGAGTCCGCGTCGTTTTGCTATTCCGCCTCCGATGAAGAAGCGCAGACTACAGTGGTTTTACTGTCTGCTCGATAGTTTGGGTTGCGTGGCCACAATCGCACTACTCTGGCTTGTCTTTAATGTATCTCGGTGGGTCTCTGGGTATGGCTATATGCATCTCTATGGGTCTCTGTGTGTCTTCCGAGTCTCTGTGTATCTCTATGGGTCTCTGTGTGTCTTCCGAGTCTCTGTGTATCTCTATGGGTCTCTATGTGTCTCTGCGCTATCTCTACGTGTCTCTGAATCGTTGTGTATCTCTATGGGTCTCTGTGTATCTCTATGGGTCTCTGTGTGTCTCTGCGTATCTCTATGTGTCCCTGAATCTTTGTGTATCCCTATGGGTCTCTACGTGTCTCTGAATCGTTGTATATCTCTATGGGTCTCTGTGTGTCTCTGCGTATCTCTATGTGTCCCTGAATCTTTGTGTATCTCTATGGGTCTACATGGGTTTACTATACGGGTCCACAGGTTCGGTAGCATGGTCACAATCGCACTACTGTGGTTTGCGTCTCTTAATTTACCATTCATGAAGGAGACGCGCGCATCGGTCCCGTTGGTTATTCTAAGCACGTAGTTGGCATTAATTCTACAAAGTTGACAACGAATCGATTCGTTTACCGAGTATCGGAAGTCGCTTTTGTGTAAGCGATGCGTAATTGGTGCCGTCCCTGGCCAGACCAGCGCGTGTGTGAAAGCGATTAACGCCAACCCCAGACACGTGGCTCGGTCTCTGCCCGGTTGCAGAGGCAATGAACGCGGTATTTACTCAGACAAAAATACTCGAGTTCTTTGCAATCGTTAATATTAAAACCCCGGTTGAAATGGGTTACCGGTTTTCGGCAAGTAAAGAAAACTCTCTTAATAGATTTGTGTAAATATGAATGTGTTCGTTAAATCCGCGACCACCCCGACACTAGTCAAATTAAAAAGGTTCGTCACGTGAACAAAACGTGCCAATTTAGTTACTAGTTCACCAAGCACCGACGTGTTGGAGAGTAAAACCCACAGCATTTAAAATTCGAGTACTCGTATGTCCAGCAATAAACTTGACACGTTCACTTTAAACACAGGGGGCCTGAGCGAGCGACTTATTGTCCAGGGCTGCTTCTTTGCCTTTCAACAGAGAACCGAGGAGGGGTAGAAATCGACCACGCGGTGATTTCTGCCGCCGTGCCGTGTGTACGTACGGATCGCGCGATCCAATCGGTGCGTTCATGACAAGCGTTCCACTGGAAACGGTTACCGGTTCGCGGCGATCGAATTTGGTTTTGTAATTGGGCCAGTGCCGGATTATCCTCATAGTAAAAGTAGTATATTGTGAAAAGTATAAGCGTACACGTATGTGAATAGCTTATTGTGTATTTTGTGATTGTATCTGTGAATAGCATGTTGTGTATAGTGTAATTGTACACTATGTGAATAGTAGATTGTGTGTTTTGTGATTGCATCTGTAAATCGTATATTGTGTTGAATAGTATATTGTGTATAGTGTCATTGTACACGTGTGTGAATAGTTTAGTGTTTTTTGTGATTGTATCTGTGAATGGTATATTGTGAAAAGTGTAAGTGTACACGTGTGTGAATAGTAGATTGCGTATTTTGTGATTGTATCTGTGAATAGTATATTATGTATAGTGTAATTGTACACTATGTGAATAGTAGATTGTGTATTTTGTGATTGTATCTGTGAATAGTATATTGTGAAAAGTGTAAGTGTACACTGTGTGGATAATTTATTGTGTATTTTGTGATTGTATCTGTGAATAGTATATTGTGAAAAGTGTAATTGTACACGTATGTGAATAGTAGATTGTGCATTTTGTGATTGTATCTGTGAATAGTATATTATGTATAGTGTAATTGTACACTATGTGAAATGTAGATTGTGTATTTTGTGATTGTATCTGTAAATAGTATATTGTGAAAAGTGTAAGTGTACACTGTGTGAATAGTAGATTGTGTATTTTGTGATTGTATCTGTGAATAGTATATTGTGAAAAGTGTAAGTGTACACTGTGTGGATAATTTATTGTGTATTTTGTGATTGTATCTGTGAATAATATATTGTGAAAAGTGTAATTGTACACGTATGTGAATAGTAGATTGTGTATTTTGTGATTGTATCTGTGAATAGTATATTATGTATAGTGTAATTGTACACTATGTGAATAGTAGATTGTGTATTTTCTGATTGTATCTGTAAATAGTATATTGTGAAAAGTGTAAGTGTACACGTGTGTGAATAGTAGATTGTGTATTTTGTGATTGTATCTGTAAATAGTATATTGTGAAAAGTGTACACTGTGTGAATAGTTTGTGTATTTTGTGATTGTATCTGTAAATAGTATATTGTGAAAAGTGTAAGTGTACACGTGTGTGAATAGTATAGATTTTGTATTTTGTGATTGTATCTGTGAATAGCATATTGTGAAAAGTGTACACTGTGTGAATAGTAGAGTGTGTATTTTGTGATTGTATCTGCGAATAGTATATTGTATATAGTGTAATTGTACACGTGTGTGGATAGATCGTGTATATTGTTCTTGTATCCTGTATTAGTATATTGTGTATAGTCTAATTGTACAGTGTATTGTGTATAGTGTAATTGAACAGTATATTGTGTATAGTGTAATTGTACAGTATATTGTGTAATTGTACACGTGGACATCTGTGAAAAAAGAGCTTCATAGCTCATCGGATTCCTCCCAGTATGAAGACATTCTGATTGCTTAATAGTGTACTGTGTACGATGGTACTCTACGTGTGTAGAGTACCTTGTGTATATTGTGTTTGTTTATGATGAACATAGGAAACATTAAGTACTGGGCGCCGCGGTGGTGAGATGTTAACTCCCTCGCCTGGTATGCAGGAGGTCGTGGGTTCTATCCCGACCTTGACGCCCGCTGCTGCTGTATATTTGGAGTTTGCGGGTTCCATCTCCCCCGTGGTCGCCTTGTTTTCTCCGGCTTCTCCGGTTTCTCCCTCCACAATTAGAATCAACATCACGCGTTTCGAGTATTTGGCTGCTCAACATTTCCACGTGATAAGCCACTTGCCTTGAGCTGTCATCTGTGACCAGGTCGCTTCTAAAGAAGAGCCGGTGTAGCTCAGTGGGGCCTTAACTGGTAAAATAAAAAAAATGTTTTTTTTATTTACTCGAGGGGACGATTTTCGATCGTGCAAACTGCGTTTTTTTCTGTTGCTGATCGCACGCAGCCACTGCTGAGCTGTGACAATGATCGTTGTCGCGTTTACCGTTTGCACACGCGCGACTATTTCTTTGATTCGGAATCACATGTTTTTGTTGTGTACACCGCATGGAGGAATTCGATGAGCTGTGGACCCTCTTTTTGCACAGATGTCCAGTGGCTTTTGGCTGTGTCAGGTGGTGGGAGCGTCTTACGACACAAAGATGTGGGCAGCTAATTGCGAGTTGATGTTTTTTTCGCGAGCATATTTGTAGAGTCACGGGGGATTCTGTGACGGGGGGGGGGGGGGGCATTTAAACCGACACGCGATTGGCTCACAAGTGACGACGTCACACTTACACCCCCCCCCCCCCCGTCTATTTAAGACCGAAACAGGAGGGGAGGATTTCTCCCCAACTCTGGCTGTCCCCTGATGATGCTCGTTGTAAACTACTGGCGAAACGTCACGCTACTTAGTGCTGTACCAGTAACGAATTGGCACGTTTTGTTTACGTGACAAACCTTGCTGATTGGCTGCGTCGGGTGGCAGCGGATTTAACGACACATTTATATTTATGCGATCTAACGCCCTAAAAAAAAACCCTTATGGATATTATTCGTCGCGAAAGCGTGCTACGTGGGAGAAGATCCCGGGGCCGGCCCAAGACACGTTGCTGGGGGGACGACATCGATCGGCTGGAACACCTGGGAATTCCCCAGGAAGAGCTACACAGTCTGGGTATCGTAGTGTATAGTGTATAGTAATGTATCGTAGTGTAGAGTGTATAGTAATGTATCGTAGTGTATAGTGTATAGTAATGTATCGTAGTGTAGAGTGTATAGTAATGCATCGTAGTGTATAGTAATGTATCGTAGTGTATAGTAATGTATCTTAGTGTATAGTAATGTATAGGGTATCGTAGTGTATAGTAATGTATCGTAGTGTATAGTGTATCATAGTGTATAGTGTATCGTTGTGTATAGTAATGTATCGTAGTGTATAGTGTATAGTAATGTATCGTAGTGTATAGTAATGTATCGTAGTGTATCGTAGTGTATAGTAATGTATCGTAGTGTATAGTGTATAGTAATGTATCGTAGTGTATAGTAATGTATAGTGTATCGTAGTGTATAGTAATGTATCGTAGTGTATAGGGTATCGTAGTGTATAGGGTATCGTAGTGTATAGTGTATAGTAATGTATCGTAGTGTATAGTAATGTATCGTAGTATATAGTGTATAGTAATGTATCGTAGTGTATAGTAATATATAGGGTATCGTAGTGTATAGTAATGTATCGTAGTGTATAGTAATGTATCGTAGTGTATAGTAATGTATCGTAGTGTATAATAATGTATAGTGTATCGTAGTGTATAGGGTATCATAGTGTATAGTGTATAGTAATGTATAGTGTATCGTAGTGTATAGTAATGTATCGTAGTGTATAGTGTATAGTAATGTATCGTAGTGTATAGTAATGTATAGTGTATCGTAGTGTATAGGGTATTGTAGTGTATAGTGTATAGTAATGTATCGTAGTGTATAGTAATGTATCGTAGTGTATAGTAATGTATCGTAGTGTATAGTGTATAGTAATGTATCGTAGTGTAGAGTAATGTATCGTAGTGTAGAGTAATGTATCGTAGTGTATAGTGTGTAGTAATGTATCGTAGTGTATAGTAATGTATCGTAGTGTAAAGTAATGCAGTGTATAGTAATGTATAGTGTATTGTAGTGTATAGTAATGTATCATAGTGTATAGTGTGTAGTAATGTATCGTAGTGTATAGTAATGTATCATAATGTATAGTAATGTATCATAGTATATAGTAATGTATCGTAGTGTATAGGGTATCGTAGTGTATAGTAATGTATCGTAGTGTATAGTAATGTATCGTAGTGTATAGGGTATCGTAGTGTATAGTGTATCGTAGTGTATAGTAATGTATCGTAGTGTAGAGTAATGCAGTGTATAGTGTATAGTAATGTATAGTGTATCGTAGTGTATAGTAATGTATCGTAGTGTATAGTGTGTAGTAATGTATCGTAGTGTATAGTAATATATCATAATGTATAGTAATGTATCGTAGTATATAGTGTATAGTAATGTATCGTAGTGTATAGGGTATCGTAGTGTATAGTGTATAGTAATGTATCGTAGTGTATAGTAATGTATCGTAGTGTATAGTGTATAGTAGTGTATAGTGTATAGTAATGTATCGTAGTGTATAGTAATGTATCGTAGTGTATAGTAATGTATCGTAGTGTAGAGTAGTGTATAGTAGTGTATAGTAGTGTATAGTGTATAGTAATGTATCGTAGTGTATAGTGTATAGTAATGTATCGTAGTGTATAGTAGTGTATAGTAATGTATCGTAGTGTATAGTGTATAGTAATGTATCGTAGTGTAGAGTAACGTAGTGCTGGAGTCTCGTCGCCAGGGAGAGGGAGGCGTGGACCGCCACTCCTCAACACGCTGCCGCCGCGACCCTCACCAGGCCAAGCGGGCCGAGAAACGAGCGAACGACCCTCGCCCACAAAAGCTCTCTTATCGATAACATCGGTCGCGAAAGCTGACAACCACGCGTTCAAATCACTTCCGCTGCCACCTTTGCCCCCTACCCACCCCGCAGCCCCTCCCCCATGGAGGGCTCCGGGCTGGGCCGCGTGGCCCGCACCCCCAAGTGCGCGCGCTGCCGCAACCACGGCGTCGTGTCGCGCCTCAAGGGCCACAAGCGGTTCTGCCGCTGGCGCGACTGCGCATGCGCCAACTGCCAGCTGGTGCTGGAGCGCCAGCGCGTGATGGCCGCGCAGGTGGCGCTGCGCAGGCAGCAGCAGCAGCAGCAGGTGAGGGGGGAGGGAGGGAGGGAGGGCGGGGCCCTGGCGTGGGTGGGGAGGGGGAGTCTAAAGGTGATACGGGTCTGGGGTAGGGGGTGGAGCCTAAAGGTGATAAGAGGCGGGGCTTCTGGGGGAGGGGGCGGTTCCTAAAGATGAGAAGGGACGGGCCTGGGGGAGGGTTGGAGCCCAAAGGTGATAAGAGGCAGGGCCCCTGCGGGAGGGGGCGGGGCCTAAAGGTGATAAGGGGCGGGGCCTTGATGTTAGGGGCGGGTTCTGGCGGGGAGGTTGAGGAGCTGGGACTCATGTTAATAGGGGACTTGACTGGTGAAGGAATAGCAGCCAAAGGAGAGAGAGAGAGATAGACCGACCGACCGCTGTGCAAAGACAGCCATGCAAACGCGCGGGGGTTGGATTGTGGCATCGCGACACCGCCCAGCGGTGGCGACGGCATGATGGCCCTCGTCCAGCATTGGATAGACCGCGGCTCTCGCGGTGTTGCTAATGCTGCGGCGTTTGTGCTTCAGTCGAGAACTCGTCACGTGGACGCGGCTGCCGGTGGGGTCGTGACCTCCTGTCGCTCCGCGGGTCCCGCACGCGCGGCCCGGACCCCAGGCATCGTGGCGCGGAGCATCCTGGAAGGTGATGATGGCTGCTGATGATCATCATCGTCATGATCATCAGCAGCAACAGAATGTAAATGCATCCTCATCAGCAACATCATTATACTCGTCACAGTAAACATCAATAAGAGCATTGTCACCAGCATCGTCTTCATCGCCATCACAGTGAACATCAGCAACACCAATTGTGCTGTCATCATCACCACCGTACAAATGAAGAACCCAACGGTCACCATCCTCGACACTGCCAACATCACCATCACAATTTAGCTCCACCACCGCCGTCATCGCCACCACCACCTCCTCCTCCTCCTCTCTTTCTCACCTTGCAGGTTATCGTCCCCCTGCCCCGGAGGCTGACTCGCATAGTGGCTGCTCCGGGGCTTCATCCACCTCCTCCTCCTCCTCCTCCTCCTCGTCGTCGTCCTTCCCTCCCGCACTCAGCGAGAGGATGCGGAAGCGCCGAGCGTTCGCCGACAGAGAACTGGAGTCGGTGATGATGGAGCGAGAGAGACTCCACAACCATCATCAGCATCACCTGGTGGACAACCAACCCTGCAGACCCATCGCCCACCTCCTCCCAGCGATGTGGCCACTTGGGGCTTCTGCAGTATCTACGGCCACCTATTTACAGTCCTGCTTGCACGAACATTTTCAACAGCAACAACATCATCAGCAGCAGCATCATCATAATCAGCAGCGCCCATTACCTCTGGACCTCACGATGCCCAAATCGTGTCCTAAAACGCTCAGTGCTCCTCCGATGGAGCTGTGTCCAGTGATGCACTCGTTACCACTGACATCATCAGCAGCAGCATCATCAGCAGCAGCATCAGCATCATCACATGTGTTGATGTCAAATATTCAACCTCTGCCGCGGATCGTGTCAAGTGAAGCAGACACAAGGAACGCTTACTTCTTACAGCTGGAACGTCACCTTCATCACCACCAACACCACCTTCATGATGCTGGTCACCACCATCATCAGCACCAGCGTCAAGATGATGATCGTGATGGTCATCAGCAGCAGCAGGACCTCGGTGTCACCTGCACCTGCCCAAGCGCGCGGGATTTGACCACGCTTGACGCGTGGAGGTCACAGCCACTGGGTCATCACGACCTCTCCTCGGCCTTCAAAAGGTTTCCGAACTCGCAGAGCGCGACGGTCAAGTCGCCAACGGAGCGCGACAGAGATGAGGAGGAGCAGCATGATGACGCAGATGATGAGGTGGCTGTGTTCGCGACATCTCAAAGCAAGAAGTCGGCCTCTGTCCGGCGGCCTCTCCCCTTCTCTGTGGAGTCTCTTCTGCAGGCGTGCTAGCAGCGTGCTGGCAGCGTGGTGGCCTCGTGACGGCCTCGTGACGGCCTCGTGCTGGCCACGTGGTTGGCACGCGCTAGCAGCTTGGTGGCCACGTGGTTGACACGTGGTTGGCACGCGCTAGCAGCTTGGTGGCCACGTGGTTGGCACGCGCTAGCAGCTTGGTGGCCACGTGGTTGGCACGCGCTAGCAGCTTGGTGTCCACGTGGTTGACACGTGGTTGGCACGCGCTAGCAGCTTGGTGGCCACGTGGTTGGCACGCGCTAGCAGCTTGGTGGCCACGTGGTTGACACGTGGTTGGCACGCGCTAGCAGCTTGGTGGCCACGTGGTTGGCACGCGCTAGCAGCTTGGTGGCCACGTGGCTGGCACGCGCTAGCAGCGTGGTGGCCACGTGGTTGGCACGTGGTTGGCACGCGCTAGCAGCTTGGTGGCCACGTGGTTGGAACGTGGTTGGCACGCGCTAGCAGCGTGGTGGCAACGTGGCTGGCACGCGCTAGCAGCGTGCCGGCCGCGTGGTGGCCGCGTTACGACCTCGTGCTGGCCGTACGCGAGCTGTGCGATGGCCGACTCTGGGCGCGTGCTGGCCACGTGCTAACCCGAGCGCGCCACGTCCCCCTTCCTCTTGTGTGCGACGCCGCGTATCCGAGCGCCACATATCCGCCCTCACAGAGTAATTGACCCCACCCCCCCTCGCCGCATAGGCAGTGCTGCATCAGCTACGGTTGGTGTTAGCGTCGCTCTGCAGAGATGTTCACAGACCTGACCGCGTCTCGCCCAGCGATGTCTCATCTTGCGTCCGTTCGCTGACTTCCAGAGCACGGTGGTGTGCGATGCACAGCACGGAATAGTAATCGTTCGCGGCGTCCCTTTGCGGAGAGCATACCAAGATAACGCAGCAGACAATTCGCCTGCACACACCTGTCTCGCCACGTAAAAAAAATAAAATTATCGGGCCTTCTTTGAGTACTTTTCTTTTCAACAGCAATTTGTTTTTAACGCGAGCAAGAAAAACTATGGACCAATTGCAACCATTCAGTGCCTCGTCAGCACTGTCTGACTTTCTTGAATCAGTGCCTGGTAAAGTGCCAGATGTGCATGGGCACGGGTCCTCCCCTTTTGTCTTCGATACGGGCCCTATATTTAAATCGATTTGCTCTTTAAATGCGTCCAGTAACCTATTTTTCGCACGCGGGCTGGGTGGGGGGGGTGTAACTATCAACGTGTACCACCTTAACCCGACGAGTGTTTAACATTCCTGCGGGATATATTGCGCTCCGGGCCGCTGGTATGCACCGCGATAGGTGGCACGTGTCTCGCAGTCGCCACAGCCCATCGCGAGGAGAGGGTACACACACACACATACCTGTCAACCCATACGGTTTACCCCGTATTGGTGTCCAAACGGCGTACGGCCGTTTCAATACGTGTCTCTTTGTGTTTCTCCCATGTGATGGGATTTTGTAGGATGAACATTGAGACTTATAAAAAACCAATAAGGTCTGAATTTTGATTTAAAGCTTTCGTGACTGCAGTAATTCATATTCTTAGTTCTTTCGGTAAAGTGACGTTGAAGGGAAACAATAAAATAATAAAATATATAAACCAATAAAAATTCTCACGACGTTTCGACCATAACACAAACGGTCGTCTTCAGGTGTGTCGGTTTGCATACATTTATTTTTAAACGGTGTATTTATTTATTTATAAAAACGTTAGCGCCACGCGCAGCGATTTGGCAGTTTATTTAGAAGGATTAGTCCATCTATGTTCTGAAAAGAGGAGGGGGGAGACGAAAAATTAATGTTTGCTGTCTGAAAGCCACTGTACGCGTGAACAATCAATTAAGACCTAAAATGGTTTATCAAATCTTTCCAATGATTGCTAAGCCAGAATCCATCTTCTCGGTTGAAATTGTCTCTGTGCTTGTATATGTGGATAGCCTCATGAACGAATCTCTCATGGTAGCCAGATGGCTTACAAAGAACCTCTGTCTTGGAAAAGTCAATGTGATGTTTAAAAATAAATAAATTTATGCAAACCGACACACCTGAAGACGACCGTTTGTGTTATGGTCGAAACGTCGTAAGAATTTTTATTGTTTTATATATTTTATTATTTTATTGTTTCCCTTCAACGTGACCTTACCGAAAGAACTAAGATTATAAGGTCTGAATTGGTCTGTAATAAGGTAGGGCACTGATAAAGGGTATACTGGAGGTGGCGTGCCGGATGCAGAAATATTTCCCAGGGTGTCGACACGCACGGAGAGAATCGCGTGCGTCTATCTGCGAGGAGCGGTGGTGTAGTGGTTAGCGCTACGCTGCGCTACGAACCTGGCGACCTGAGTTCGATTCCCGCTCACGGCCAACACCCAGTGACGATTATCTGAACCGGTCATGGGCCTCCCCTAGGTCGACGCAGCCTTAAATGAGTACCCGGTGCGGTGCGTGAAAACATCGCCACTGGGGAGACAAAGGCGGCCGGGCGTGGTGCTGGCCACCCACCCCCTCGTGTGCCGTGCCGGCCTTCATCGGTGCTACTCGCTAACAGCACTTGCCCCTACAGTCTGCTAAGGCTGTTGTGTATCCGTGAGTATGTATGTATATGTTTATTTTGCGTGTGTGTAAGGGCGTAGGTCTACTGTATGCTTGAATGAGTGAACGTTGTACATACAGTATGCATATTTAATAGGTGTGTAAATATCGTTTTTATTCGGTTACCGGTAAGCGAATGAAAACCGGTTAAACCGGTTAGTGCCGGTTTATCGCGCGCATATATGCATGTTTAGAACAATAAACGTGAATGGGGCTTTTTTGTGCCTTTTACGCGCAAGACGCGAAGGCAGCTGCCACATCGGCCAACCACCCCACTGGACGCACAACCCAGACGTCTGTGATCCGTAGTCGATGTCTCGGCACGGCAGTCGAAACAACGGAGAACGCCCCTCCTCAACACCCCTGACCACCCCCCCACTCCCCCCGCATGGCCTCTCTGTCCTCCCCAGCAGTAGAAATGGGTTCAGCAGAGTTGGCTCAGTCGGGAGGTGGGGGTAAAATGTGTGTGGGCCCACGTTTTACCAAGACCTGCGGTCAGCGTGAAAGAGTAGGCGAGCAAGTGGCGGTAACAGGCACTTTCAGGGCTGCGCCTGTACCACCTCTTACTCGTGAGTACTGCGCTAACAACGTGAAAGATGGTCGGAACAATGATGATGAGCGGCAATGATGAGTGTGACGATGATGGCAATGATGATGAGTATGGTGATGATGATGAGTTTGATGATGATCACACCGTCATTCATCTCCGTTAATCGCTCACTGATCGGATTCCTTAAATTCCACGTTGCCATGACGGCGGCCCGTCCATCATGGATGGGATTTCTCTCCGCCGGTGACAGCAGTGGTGAGACGAGGGGGTGGGGGGGGGGGGTGGAAGGTATGCCCAATGACGTCACAAGGCGGCAATTAACCCGGGAAAGTGACCCCTAATTAACGAGAGCCGCCTGAATTACTAGGAACTGTACACACGTACAGACAAAGATAGCCCCTGTAGCCCACACGGGATGTTGGGGCAAGTACCGTTCGCGAGCCCCTATGAAGCCAGCCACGGCGCATGAGGGTGCCGCCATTTGCCACTAAAGTGACGGTGACATTACCACAGCGCTCGTGCCAGGCTAGGTGCACTTTAATGCAATCGCGAGAAGTGTGCACGGTTCGCTGACAACATAAAAGACAAAGCTCACCCGTATAGCTTCAAAGGACTGTTGGGGCAAGTTCTGTTAGCGAGCACTTAAAGGGGTGGTGGGTGGCCAACACCACTCCAAGGCCGTCTTTGTCTTCCCAGCGCTGATCTTCACGCGCCACACTCAAGACACAGACACACCACTTCATAAAACCCCCGAGATCCTCACGACTTCAAGGCGCCACTCACTTCTCCCTCTCGTGAGCCCAACCGGTCGTATTGAGGTGCCCGGAACGCGACGACGTCTCCTCGTGCTCTCTCTGCACGTTCGCCGAGCGGCGCGCGTCACAATGGACACGTGACTGGCAAGGGGGGCGGGGCGGGGGGTGGGGCGCCTTTGACTTTGCCCGCGTGATGTTTGCTGATTGCGCCACACTCGTCCCAAGCATCAGAATATTTAAGATTGGGGGAATCCGATGGGCCATCGAGCTCTCAACCATCGGACGCGTCTCGTACGTCCGCGTCCCTCCACAGGCCATGGAGATGTAGGTATTTGTGTTTTTGTTGCGCGTTTTTTGTGTGTGTTGCGTATTATAATTACAATCGCAGTTTGTGTCAACGTGCAAGCGGCGCGCCCGTCTGCACGGGCGTCGCTCTCACTCTGCCAGAGAGAGGGAGGGAGACGGGAGAGAGACGGAGAGGAGGCACAGACGATCGTGAAGCCAGCAGCTACGCGGTGAGCTGGTGCTGACCAACTTTTGAACCCCCGGGGTCCCGAATAAACGGAAGTCAAAATCGTAAAATTATTGAATTTCTTTTTGGCGACTCCGTCCCACCGCGCACATAAACGCCGCGACCCGCCTGGCGCGGATCGTTCTGTTGTCGTGTCGTGTCCAAGCGCAGCAGGAGCGAGGACGAATGCGCACAAGAGCTGAACACGCGAATGCACTCCACGCTCGGGTATGGGCAGGATCATAACAAGTCTCATCCAAAGCTGCTCAAACTGCCTACACGACCTAAGTCCTTTATTTGTCATCACGGTATGCATAATAATACAGTGAAACTGCTCTCTTATCTTCATTATTATTTGTGACCTACCAATGTCTGCAGCCAGGATCAATCGATGACAAACCTATTACCTGCAGATATTTACCAGATGAGATGCGTTGCACCGTTAATTCCTCCTGTTTGATAATACTTCTCTTGTCCGTATGCATCTGTGCAGATAGGTTTTTTTTGTGGTTAAGCCGTGGTCCCCACGTACCGCTCGTATCAATGCGGATAAGAGGAGCGGCGACCCACTACTCTGTAGAGTAACATTGGTATATACGCTTGTTACAATGTGAACAGCGCATTGAAAACGCGTACTATTTTCTGTACTGTTTACAAAGTGTGTTCACAAATCCACACTGAGAAACACGATGATCGACAGCGGGGTGTAAATTATTGTTTCGATAGTGTATTTAAATAGAGGTACTGCAGGTAAGTAGTTTTCAGTTTTAAAGGCATACTCTTTGGTTCTATTCGGTAAAGTCACGTAGGTAAAAAATAAAACAACACAAATCACGACGTTTCGGCCACAACACAAGTAGCCTTCATCAGGTGAAGAAACAGGACTGTCCAGAAGACAGCGCTTGAGTGAACACTGCCAAGCATGGGCCGCGTCTTTTAAGCTGTGTGGGAGGAACAGAGCGCCTTGACAAAGGAGTTAACATATAAATTAGCATGTAACTGTTACATATAAATTAGCATGTAACTGTTACATGCTAATTTATATGTTAACTCCTTTGTAAAGGCGCTTTGTTCCTCCCACACAGCTACTTGTGTTGTGGCCGAAACGTCGTGATTTTTGTTTTATGTTTTACCTACGTGACTTTACTGAATAGAACCAAAGAGTATGGATCCTTGCAGTCACGAAAGCCTCAAATCTAGAATTTAAAGGCATAGTTTAACAAGACAACACTTGCCACCATCCTTCAAACCCATTGGTGAAAAAGAGCAAAGTTTATGTTTACATTATAACACAATGTTTACATTATATAGAATATAATGTTTACATTATATATAATATATAATATAATGTTTACATTATAATATAATGTTAATGCGAGAGCCGGGAGCTTATGGGACCCCGGGGTCCCACCATAAGGTTTATTTGCCCAAGCTCTGTGGTCGTCTCTACACTGTATTGAGGCGTTATGGGTCAATCGATTTCGTGTTTACATTGTTGGGAGGAAAACGGAGCACGCGGAGGAAGAAAAAAAACCCGCGCACGAGAGAGTTCAACG